TATATATATATATTTGTATATATTTGTATGTTTTTATATATTTAATCAGTTCATAAATTTTCTTAATTATATCATAATATCAAGGCACTTCATTAAAATATTCATTAAATATTTAATTTGATTTACGTTATTTATAATATATGCTATTTTAATAATATGCTATTTATAATATTTTAAATTATAGTAAAAATTTTAATTATGCATAAAAAATTGTAACTTATAAATATAAATGTACATGTATGTACTGACAAAATATTTTTTTATTATAATTTTTTCGAAACAATTTGATTCATATGCAAAATATTAATCGCCTAAAAATATATCACAAAATGTTTCAAAAAAATTATTTTAAAAATATTGATTTATTTTTCCATTTTCATTTATTTTATAATAATCAGTCGTATTAATATATTAATATTAATTCAATGTCAAATGAAATTTTATTTTACTTTTTGACTTTTTTATCAAATAATTATATTAAGTTTTTAAATATGAAAGAACAAAAATAATTACCTTATTTTAAAATATTTTATCTTCCGTTATTTTCTATATTTTTCAAATATCGTTTTATAGCTTAATGAATATATTTTATTTCTGATATTCATTTATAATAATTATGCGATATTATATACTATATATATCAAACTTTTTGAATATCCAAGCTCATTAATAAAATTAATCATGAATGACTTCGTTTTATTTAAATAATTTTAAATAATTGTCGTCATGGCACATCAAAGATCAAGCAAGATGCACGAAAGCAACATGTGATATTTGAAATTTATTTATATAATTAATTTTTCCTATTTATCATTCAAAAACACACATGCTCACATAAAAACTGAATTTATAAATTGATAGTAAGATTTTTTTTTAGTATTCATTTTTTTCTATTTTCCATCCATATCTATACGTTATTCCATGAAACCCCTGAAATAGATATTTTCCATTTGTTAATCATTATTTTAAAACAATTGTAACAATTTTTGTTCATGCATAGTTCATGCTTAAACTTTCATCTGATCTGTTTCACGATTAACCATCACCACATAACTAGGATTACTAAAACCAGCTGGCATTTCTAACCTTAAATCACTCTTCTGTTTAGGCATGTTTACATAATTATCTTGTGTCCTAATGATAGTGGGTATAAAATCTTTTTCTGATATTGTATTTCCATTATTTAATTTTTCATTATCATCAGAATTTTTTGAATCATTCTTATTCTTTTCATTCAGATTTATTAATTGACCATTTTGTGAAGTATTGCAATATCCAAAATCCCTATTGATTGGTCGATCTATTGTTTGATTTTTCATTGCTTCTCGCTGTCGAACGAATTCTGCTCGTCGTGCAAGTACATTGATAGGTTTTAAATAAGGATCTTCTTCCTCTTGTTTTTTTAACATTGGTGATATTTCTATTGCGTCTTCTGAGTCAGAAGTAGGCGATGGAAATTCAAAACAAGTACCTTCTTGATTTGGTCTAGGGCTGAATATTTCTGATTGATATCCCTGACTATTGGGACTCATACATAGGTACGTTGAATCAGTCAAATTTGAAGGAGGCAAGTTTGAATAATCATGAGTGGGCGAGGAAAGTGTTGTATGATCAGGTGAAGAAAGCATTGTTAAATAATCATTTCGCCCACCTTCTAACATTATTGTGTTCATATCCATGTAGGGATCATTTAAACTGATATAATGCTAAATCAAATGAAAATATTTAAAATGTATATAATTTTAATAATTGATTTTAATAATTGATGAGTATAATAATTTCATTCATTCATTTTAATGTATTATATACATCGTACACAATGATTACTATAATATTTTTAAATAAAATTTAAAAAAATTATTGTAAAAATTAAATTTTTGCAAATAAAAATAAAAATAAATATAAAATATGAAAAATAAATAAAAACATACTGATATCAAACTTACCGTTTTTACGCTTTCTTCTAATAGATCACCAATATTTTTAACTAATTGCGTGAAACTCGGACGTAAAGTAGGCTTAGCCATCCAACATTGATACATTATGTTATATCTATGAAATTTGAAATTTGAAATAGAAAAAAATGATTTTTTTAAAAATTTCATTTTTAAAACTGCCGTTATAACTTACATTTCGGAAGTAGCATATTCCGGTTGTTCCAATCTATATCCTTCAATTAATTTTTGGTATTGTTTTTCAGCTTCCATTCCTGGATAAGGTGTTTCAGCTAATGTAAAGAATTCCCATAAAACTATACCAAATGACCAAATATCTGATTGTGTTGAAAAAATTCGATCTCTAATCGACTCGATAGCCATCCATTTTATAGGTAATAGACCACCTCCTTTTTTTTTATAATTATTATCTTTGTACATGGTTTTTGCTAAACCAAAATCACAGATTTTTACGACATTATTTTCGGCCAATAAAATATTTCTCGCAGCCAAATCACCGTGTAATACCTAATACAATAATTATAATGGAATATTAAAATTAATAGATTCAATTATTTAATAATTTTTATTGCGGTTAGTTAAATTTTAATTAGAAATAAGATATTGATTTCGAAAATTGATTCTGAAATTTGATATTTATGATTCAAAATTCAAATCGAGATAAATAATAATTTTTTTCTATATATATCTCAGGATTCATTGCAATCGCATTCTATTCGAAAATTTTTTGATTAATGGGTCAATTTTATATTTATTAAATAGTATAACTGCATAAAATCAGTTCACAATTATATATAAATATACCTTTCTTTGGCTAAGATATTCCATTCCACGCGCTACTTGAAAAGCCCAAGATAATAAATCTTGCGTACAAATCGGTTTTAAATTATGATCCTTATAATCACCCCGATAATTAAATCTCCATCCTTGGGACGAATTATTACTTTGAATAGCGCCATCCGGTGACATGCTAACTCCTTGAGAATCCATTGCAGAAGTTTGATAATTCGTCGATTCAATGGCAGAATTATCACTAAGACTGCGAGAAAATGACAATGCCACGTATTTTATCCTGTCATATGAACAAAAGAAAACACATATCCATCGTTAATCACCACAACCCCATGCAAAACATAAATATATATAGTAACATATAATATGGTTATGAAGTACGAAAAAAAAAAGAAATATAGAAACTGTAATAATTTGCAGATTAATTGCATAAGTTAAAAAACATAATATATGATATAAAATGTTTTTATTAGATTTAGAAATGTTTTATATTAGATCACAGTATTCCATTATGAATTTAAAACATATAATTAATTATTAATAATAATTAAATACTAAATTAAATATTATTCTATAATGTTAATGTTAGTTATTTTGCATAAATTTTAATTATACATATTTTCATAAGCTACATTCAAAAGATTATTGAAACGAAATGAAGAATTATTAATGAGCGTATTAATAAGTAAAAATGCTATATGAAAAAATAAAAAAGTAAAACAAACCTATTATTACTGCTAACACTAACGGATCTGGTTAAAAGATCTTGACCGATACTAGGATCGAATTTACCAGTTGTTGGATCTATTTGGTTGATAAAATCAGTCCTATGTCGTAATAAATAATTGTGTAAATTTCCAAATCGGCAATATTCTACGATTACTAATAATTCACCTATTTATAAAAAAGAAAAAATATTAAAATCAAAATTTAAATTTTACATAAAATATTAATATTAAATTTTAAAATTAAATTGTAAAATTTTATTTATTATTTTCTTCTTAAAACTCTGAGATAAATTCAAAAAAATTTTTAATTTTATTTATTTATTAAATTAATTATCAAATTATTTTATTATTTGTATCATTTTTTTAAAATTCCATAATTTTAAAATACGTACGTTTGGAAATATTTTTCGTACAAGCACCAAGAAGATTGACTACATTCAAGTGTTTACCAAGATGCACCATAATTTTCAGCTCGCTAGCAAGTGCACGAACACAAGTCGGAACTGTTGTTCGACGAACCATTTTTACTGCTACTGTGGTAACTGGTTCATTCTCACAAATTCCTTCTGCTTCCGCTTTCATGACAACTCCAAAAGCTCCGCTTCCTAATTGTTTCCCTTTAAATCAAATAATTAAATTAAATTTCAATTATTAAATAAATTTTTATAAAATATTTAAAATATAA